AGAAGAGAGCTCTTCTCTCTGTCTCCCAGGCGGCCGGCTCTCCCTCCACCCGGCCGAGGGGTCAGAGGGGTCGTGGGACGGGGTTGGCCCCGAGCCTCCGCAGGGCTCAGGCCGCTGGGCGCAGCCAGGCCCAGCCTTGGCCGGTGTCTTTCTCCTCCTTCTAAATACAAACACGTAAATAAATCGAAATGGCTTCCTCCAGCCACCGTCGCTAGCGCTCAGCCCGGCCAGCTTGTTCATTTCCTGTGCGGGAGGCCGGTTTGGGGAGAGGCTGGGGGGGGTGGGGCAGGAGGGGGGACAGCTGAGCGCCAGTCACGGTGGGAAACCTCCCCCTCCCAGCCTCCTCACATGTGCTCGCACACGAGGACACACGCACACAGGCGTGCCAGCTACAACGCACACACGCACGCACACAGCTCAGCGAGCAGGCGTCTGCAAGCCAGGCCACCCGGCACCCCGCAGGGGCCGCGGGCGGGGACTGGGGTGCAGCGGGCGGTTCTCACAGCCTGCCCCAGGTGTTCCGTGACCCCAGGGCTGGGCAGTGGTCAGGGGAGCTGGGGACACCCTGGTGCCATAACTGGCCTGAGCCCAGAGGCCAAGCCCGGACGAGGGAACAGGCGCCCCCTGGTGTCCGATGCCGAGGCCCGGACGCTGGCCTCCCCCAGCTGCCCCCTGGAGACCTGGGCCTGGCCCTGCGGGCAGCCTGTCCTCAAGTGCGCCCCTTCGGCAGCCCCATGACGTCGGGCTCCCCTCTGTAGGGCAGCCCGATCAGCTCCCACTGGGGTTCCCTCCCTGCCCTCCCAGGCCCCGTGGGCTCTCGGCCTCAGCAAGGCTGCATAGGCTGAGTCCTTGGCCAGGCACGCCAGCCCGGTCCCGCTTTGGGGTCCTGCTTAGGGCCAGAGCTGCCTGGGCCTACCCTGCCCCCAAGCACACCCAGGGCCGGCTGGCCTGGGGCCGCAGCTCCAGGAGGGGACTCTGGCCCTGCCTGTGGCGATGTTCACAACTGAGAGCCACTCAACAAACATTGGCTGACAGGCTGGGCCCAGAACCCTGCCCGCCCTGGGGGCCTAGAAGGTTGCCTCCAGGGAGTTCAGAGGCCACCTGAGGAAGCACGGCCTCCCGCATGGGCTTCCAGGGGTCTCTGGCCCCCCCCCGAGCCACTCACAGGGCAGGGGGGTCTGCAGAAGCGGGGGGCTGGGGGTGGGAGAGCTGGG